ACAACAAAGAATCATTCTGGGAAGACAAACGCCCCAGAAGACTGGTTTGTTTTATACAGAAATGGCCAGATTTACCCAGGCTTCAGTTCCAGTGTCTGAAAGGATGTAAACTTGTGTCAGTTCTGTTCCTGTATTTTACTTTAGCATAACCCATATTTTCAGTTGCATTATCTGTCTGTATGATAAATAATGAAAGCCAATGCATGCGGGATGGGCGATATACCGGTAGACACGATTAACCGGTAGAAATTTGTCAACCAGTAGAGATTTTGGACTATCATTGGTGTGCTACGTGGTCACGAACACTTATTGTTTGCAAGCGTTTTTAAGAATTGCGGTTGAAATGCAATCAGCAATGAAAGAGAACTAATTTCGCTATATGTGAGCGCTGTCAGAGAGGCACGTGCACGTGAAGACGGTGCTCATAGAGCGCGGGAGTTATTTCTGCCGCTTTATAGGCCTTGAACGGTTAAATACACACACTTTTATGTGTGCCCATAAATGCCCATCTTTGCAAGTAACCTCTTAAACACAGTAGGTCTTAAGTGAAAGGAAACAGCCGAGAAAACAAAGTGACAGTATAATGGATCCGGCAGCTCTTAAAGTGACAGCAGTCTAATATTGCTGTCTGTCTTTCATGTTAATCAAACAATAAAAGAGAGAAAATCTCTCACTGCTCTTGACTAAATCACTTTTGTAACTTTAATAAGAAGAAATATATATTTAATTTACACAGTGAAGAATATGCAGTTGTTATAAATTTGATAACTTTATATAATGTAGCATTTCTTGTTTATTTGTACTACTGTAGTTTTTTGTCCTATTGTTTGTAATTAGTTTCTTATTCTTATTCAATCACTGACAGTTTACTCGTCTTCAGTGAGCTTGAGTTTTTTTTATTTTTTTTATTTAAGCTAGTATTCTTTTTTTTTTGTGATGTTGACACTGGTGACAAAAATGATCATTTCTATGATATAAAAATTTTGATATCATAAAGAACTTATTTAAAGCAAAACTGTCTATATAGTCAATAGTTATATTGTTACCTGTTACACATCGTGCTATAAGATTTTGGTCATATCGCCCACCCCTAGCATGCATACATTTGAGAGACTATATTCTAATAGATGCATACATATTAGTCATGCTTTTTGTAGTTCAACAAAAACTTTCCCTTCTGCTGCTTATTTTACTATTTAAATATATCAGTTCCTTTTCCTAACCCTTGTTAAGTAAGTGCATGCGGACTGCTTTGGGATGTGCATCTTCCATTGTTCCTCTGGTCTGCTCCATATTTTTGAAGTAGCTCCTGCACTTTTTTATTTGTGTGAATCCCTTCTGGCCTGTCGTTTATTTGTCTCCGCTTACCCTTGTTTGTGTTTTTCCCATTCCTTTTTAGACAAAAGTGGTGCAAAGTTTGCACTGGAGCAAAAGTTTAGTAAATCTGGCCCTGGGTTCAGTAAGTATTGAGTGAATTCTCATCCCAGAATGTGGTGATTGATCTTATTGAAATGAATTAAGTTTCATTCTAGAACTGAATTCAAGAGTCTATGATTCTGTGTTTTGTGTATCTAATCAAAAGTTGGCCAGAAATCAAATTGGCGAGCATCACAAAATCTATCTGATCAGTTAGGAGATCTTGATCACATGACATCCTGCTCTCCTCTCTGCTCTCTTTCTCTTTATCATGTCTGAATGTCTCTTCTCCCTCATTTTTCTGTTTTCTCACATGCAGGTCCGCATTTTGTTGCGGTCAACAACAAGAATGAAATTGTCGTGACAGACTTTCATAACCACTCCGTCAAGGTGAGTGATGTTGAGGTCATACTTACAAATTTTCACCTGGTCGACAATAAAAGACCATAAAATTGCACTGAAGGAAGGGAACTGAACCGTATTTGGAGACCAGAATATCATAGAGACTTAAGGCATAGTTCACCCAAAAATGAAATTTCTGTCATAATTTTCTCACTGTCAAGTTGTTCCAAATCTGTATGAGTAACACAAAAAAAAGATATTTTGAAGAAACAGTTGACGGTTGTCATTGTCTTCTATAGAATTTTTTCCATACTGTGGGGAAGTCAACGGCTACCGTCATCTGTTTGGACATACCTTCATATATTTTAACAGGTTAATGAAAAAGATGCTCTTAGTAATCTTTTAAGTTGTGTTTTACTTGGTAATCGTGCTTGACTTGACTGACACCTAGTGGTGTCGATGCATCCTTACAGAAAACCAATACATTTCAGTTACTGATGTCTTTGTAAAAATGAATTATTAGCAGTCAGCAATGATTCATTTATTTCATGAGTGAAAGTGTCCTATAATGGTGGTAACCGAGGTAAAGTGAGTAGTATTCGTCTGGTCATGTGATTTCAAAATGGCAGTTCCCATGAGTTGGCCTGCTCCACCCAAAAAAAAAAAAATTATATATTTTTTATTTTTATTTTGACTAGATGATTTTAAATATGTTATTCATTTCTTATCAGTAAAACTTTTTAATGAGGGGAAAAGTTACAGAATGTATCATTCTATTAAATATTGGTGATTAAAATTGTATCTCCTCAGGTCTACAGTGCAGATGGGGAGTTTTTGTTTAAATTCGGGTCCCATGGAGAGGGAAACGGCCAGTTTAATGCCCCCACAGGGGTAGCTGTTGACGTTAACGGCAACATCATTGTAGCAGACTGGGGCAACAGCAGAATACAAGTAATGAATCCTCTAAACACCCACTTCCTCTTTCCAAGTTCTCCAGGAAACTAGTCACTTTAGAAGCACTTTTTAAGGCCATTTTCATTTTTTCCCTCAGGTGTTTGACAGCTCAGGCTCATTCCTCTCCTACATCAACACAAGTGCTGACCCTCTGTATGGGCCGCAGGGCCTCGCTTTAACCTCCGACGGCCACGTTGTGGTGGCCGATTCTGGTAACCACTGCTTCAAAGTCTACCGATACCTGCAGTAACAGCTCATCACAGTCTGCAGTCATATCAGCGAAATCCTCAGCCAAACCAGAGAGGAAGAATCGAATGAACAGATTGCACTTTTCTTTAATCTATTGATTTTCATGTTCCAAAATTAAGAACTGCTTCTCTAATAAACCGGCAATGTTGATTGTAAATAACAGAAACCATATCAATAAGCACAGATTCTTATTAGAAATCATGTAAGTTGTGTATAAATAAAATTATATATCGCAAAACTTTTTGTTAATCGCCATCTTCAACCCTTGCAGAAAGGTCAATTATTTCCAAAATTCCTCTCTACTGTTTCATAGATGTTGACCTTTCCATGACTGCAACAGTTGTGTATTTTAACTGTTACACTCTGCATCTGTAAATGTACAAATCTGTGTACATATTAACATATTTGGTGTATGTAACATGTAAATGACACTGGCTTCTTGTATTGTCCTATGACAGCATTTGCCACTGAGATTTCACTATACCTGAGCTATTCGGTGAGCACTTTCAGTTAACTGGGTGTTCAAATCATTCAGATCGAACATCTGAGCTGATCATCCCTCACAGATATCAACAGCACAGGAAGTGATGCGCATCCCTGCTGTGCTCTCTAAAAAAAAAATCGAACCACTAAACAAAAGGAGCCAAAAAGGACATATTTTTTCCATTCCAAATTATTTATTTTTCTAAAGCACAAGGCTACTTTACATGTTGAAAAATCCAGCTGAACGAAGAAATACAAATATAATCAAACCCAAGTATTTCACATATATTGCCTGATTTTTAATGTTCTCTAAAAATGATCAGCTATGTGGAATTATAGCTCTTCTTTGTAAATAATCATACGTTGTGTTCACAGTGTAGCAACCAAATGTTGTCTTTAGTCAGTATTATAGTTTATGCTTCATTTGTCTATTTATTTAATGTTTTGTACACATTTTCCTGAACGATTTCGAGGTTGTCCTTCATCACCAGCGAATGATTTTAAAAATCACCTCCCTTTATTTTTGTGGAGTTTTGTCTCTTTGAAGGTTATGTGACACCGAGTCTCCTTAATAGGCTACTCTGTGATACTGTACAAGGTTAATGAACGGTGGCTCACAGTTGAAACGATGAACGTATATCTTAATATCTGTGCAAATAACATTTTTGCATGTTACTGATTTTACTAGCGTTGACATATGGTTTCTGCAGCAGCGAGACACCTGTAATGATTTGCTATTGCCAGGCTGGAAATTAATTAAATAATGTAATAACCAAAAACAAATATTCTATACTGTATATTGATTCATGATATATGCGAATTGCAAGTTGACATAATTAGTTGCTTCCGTTGCGATAAAGGCCCGTTCACAATAAGATTGATAACTGTAATTGTAACTTTAACAATAAAATCGCTCTCGCTGACAAAGTTGCTGTCAATTTTAGTTTTCGCGAGCAAAATTCAGTGTTATTTTAATTTAGAATCCACAAGATCAGGAATTTTTCATTAAAGCAAAATAATTCCAAACAGATTTCATGAATTCAAGTTGGTCACATGAATTCGGCGCATTGATCCACTGTGCTGTGTGAAATTTGACAATAGACAATGGACTTTTTCCTCGCAAAATTTCGCTAATGTCACTGCAAAGTCACACCACAGCAATAGTTTTGGAATTTTCCTCTTTCATCCAATCATTTTAGAATAAACACTGTTACCGTCCATCGGTGCAAGCGCTAATAGTTTTTGTTCATATTGTGAACGGACCTTAACTCCATCCAACGCATGCTCTAGTGCTTGGACAGATGATTTAATAAATGTGCTTCATCAGTTTAAAAAACAACGAAGATCTTGTATAACATGAAGAATCAACCGTATGTTCATTTTACTGGTCAATTATTGCAGTTTGAAATAAAACTGTAAATACAAGTCACTTGAAAATTATATTTTGTCTTTTTGAATCCAAATGGTTTACTTCAAAAAAATTTAAATACTATGGATTTTTATATTTTAAAGATGGAACTTTGGTTCTATGAAATACGAAATATTGAGAAAAAAATCATTGTAATATTTTATTTTTTTAAATGACTATTACTGCAGAGAAAAACATTTAACATCGCAGTGGTTTTTAACAAGTCACACAAAAGTAAAATGTACTCGTGATAACATCCAGCAGTTAGGTGGTGTAACAGTTCTTACATCAGCGATCGAAAGGAATCCAAAAAATACAGTCAATGTGTTCAACTTGAACTAATTTCTTATGAAAAAATAGACAGTGATTAATAAAGTACTATAAATGTTAACTGAAACTTAGTTCTTAGCTGGGCAACACAAAGTGTTCATGTTCACAGCATATGTACAAAACATCTGGTTCTGGTACAGTGTTTTCTTGGTCCTTTCTCAGCTCAAACGATATTTTGTACAAATGGCTGCAGTGATTCTAGCATGTAAACTAGCTCTGTAAATAGCAACATGAACAACAAACCATCTGAGCTCAGTCAAAAAGTGCTGAAATGTCACTTTGTGCCTGTTTCAGTCCAAACAGCATCTCTCTTTATCATCAGCCCATGAGACAGATTAGACTACAGCTAAAACAAAAGAGATTAAAATATTTAATATAATGGATTTGAAAATTACTTTAAAATGATGTAACATGAACGGCACACAGCTTCCGGATGTACTGCTTTATAAAAATGAATCTCTACATAATTAAATGAACAGAAGGATGCTCCTCACAGCACATCTGATCTACTTTGTCATATCAAGTTGCATAGCACCTATTGCAGGCTGAGCTATTACGAAATGTTGAACACGGAGCCTTATGTAACACATTACATTACAAGGTAATTTGTCTAACAAATACATCCTTTACAGATAAAACTGTGCCAAATAGTATGTAAAAAAATGAAAAGAAATGTAACATGGGGGAAAAAGTGAATATATGCCATATAATGGAATACACAGCAGTTAAGCAGTTAAAATATATTTTTTTCCAAATCATTTGACGAATTTCTCCAATTTGAAATGTTGTCATCAAACATTAAACATTCAAACATTTTTCACCTGATTCAATCCTTATTTTCACCTCTACACTATTGTACAAAAGACAACACTGAGGTCTAAGACATAAGACGACACAGAGCAGCTAAAGTCGACATTTGCGTAAAAACCTGCAATGCCTCTCTACCTGAATTTCAGTGGGGCTACATCACAATTCAAGAGCAAAAGAAATTCAATTCACTCCTTCAGATTATGGTGTATCAAAGCTCTACGCAACTAGTAAATTCAGATCAACTGAATCCAAAAACCCGGCAGAGCTTAAGAACAAATGTCCTCCCTACTTCCAGGAGGGAAAATGCCCTGAAATGTTTACCAAAACACAAAAACAGGAGCATTTATCGTTATTTGTTTTCTTTGTTGCGAACTGCATGTACGCATCGCTTCATTTTCAGTAGAAATGACATATTTGTAGTCGGCTGCCTGGGTCGTTTTTCCCTGGGCTGAAGAAGGGCGAGACGGGCTCGTCAAAGTACGTGACAAAGTTATAGATGCGTTTCATAGTGACGGCGTCGAAGAAAGTAACGTGGCCCCGGTCGTAATCTAAGAAGATGCCGACACGAGGCGAGTTCCAATAGTCCGCCACGGGCACGCGTGAGTCTTCCTCATTGGCGTACAGTCGGTCTTGAAGACACAGGCTCCAGTAGCCAGCAGAGGGCGAAAGGTTTACAAAACCTTTGCGGTTGCTATACTCTGTGGTGACGCCCAGATACCAGACCCCCTTGTCCCGTACGTCCACCTCCCAGTAGTGCTGCCCGCTGGAATACTGGGCGGTAGCGAGCACCCCGAAGAAACGGGTGAAACGCTGCGGCATGTCGGGCTCCTGGCAACGCATGCGGCCCTCCTCCACTTTGGTGTCAAAGTCGCTGATGGCCAATGATGGGTGAGCCGTGTCTAAATCCAGAGTCAGATTTTGAGGCACTGGAAAACAAGGAAGATCTGGTTAGCCGTTTAACATGCAACTAAAAACTCACAAAAAGATTGTTGTAAAAACTATAAATAAAAATCATACTATTGTTATTAAGATTGTTGTTTCCATTACAGATTTGCACAAAACCTTTGGAATATTTTATAAATGTTGATAAAAAAACTATTGCGAAATTACAGCATTTCCATTAACCGATGTTATGCGACTAAAACGTAATTTTTCCTCTCGAAACAAGTCATGGTGACGGATGTTGGTAGGTTTATGTATATATCGCAGCCACCAAACTAGCCATTATTTTTAATCGAAGGAGACGTAGGTGAGTATCTTTAGCAAAGCAGCGTGGAGAGCCACTTGCTCCGGTAGCCGTGTCGGAGCCTTAATGCACCGCAGACGTGTGCAGTGTAAATAAATTGTTATACAAGCATTAATGCCAAGGAAAGCCCTTTATACTTAAGAGCGGCCATGTATGAGGTGTTTTTGTGGAGGTTATAGTACACTGAAGAATGATCATGTGACTTTTACATATACCTGTAAATGCAAAAAAACTGTTATATACTGAAATATTTCTTTTTCGAATTGCCTGAAAAGCCACCTCATGCGAGCATAAAGGCCCGTTCACATCATGCACGGTAACTTTAAAGATATAGTTCTAAAAATCGTTCTCAATATTAAAGAATAGCAGAGTCCACACTACAACTATAACGATAAAGGCACAGAGAAACGATATCGTTGGAATCACTTCCAGAACGATTTTTTCCAGCTGACAAACGATACAAACATTGACAGCCAATCAGAATCCATCCTTCTATAACGAGCTCGAGAATTTAAAGCGGCAGACGCATGTGCGCTTACAATAAACTGACGATATCGTTCGCTGGTGTGGACGCTAATATTGTTATCATTATAGTGATCGATCTTGGTGTGAACGGGGCTTAAATCCATTTTATGTGATATATGGGTATTTTTGCGAAATTGACATGTTTCCATTGGGAGTATTTTCAATTCGCAATTTCAATTTGCGCAATTTGAAGGGTAATGTAAATGCAGTTACTGAGGGGGTAAAAATGTGTTCACATTAGTGTTCACATTTTGGCTAAATTTCTAAAAAGTCCATTGTCAATAGTATAGTGACGTATGAAGCTACTTTCTGTTGGTCAACGAGACAAATTCATATGAAATTCCAAATATCATAGATTCCAACTGAAATGACTGGATTTCGCCGGCAAAAATTCTCCAAATAATGTGACCGCACCTTAATGCACCAACAGTACTTACTTGTGTGTAACACATGCATCATCTTCTTCCACATGATGAGCTGAAAGGGGCCTGTGAACTCTGAGAAATCTGGAGGAGAGGTAAAGGCCTGGACGCTGAGGTTTATGTGACAGGAGCTATGAGGAAAAAAAACACATTATGAGAGACAAACACTAAAAATACCCAGATTATTAGCCGGGCAGATATAATCATAGCTAACAAGATAAGGAATTAAACTGATTTAAAAAAAAAACAAAAAAACAAACAGATTTACATACCTTAAGTATGAATTACTGATACTCTGAGGGAAAAAAATAAACAAAGTTAAACGTTAATAATAATAGTGTCACGCTGCAAAGTCATATAAAGTCACAATTGTGAGAAGCAAAGAAGCGATAACGATATATAAAAATACATGGCCAGATATAATGTAATGATATATAATGTAATTACACCAAAGATGACAACTATAACAATAACTGTACCCTTTTATTTTTTGTTCCAATTCTATGAGAAACTATAACGATAATGACAGATGAAAGATATTGTTGGAATCACTTCCAGAACTTTTCTCCAGCTGATGAATGTTAAAACCTCGACAGCCAATCAGAATCCATCCAACTTCAAATAGCTTGAGCATTTAAGGTGGCAAAACTTCAACATCCTTATAATAAATGCAGCATTATCATATTATGGATGACATTTTTGTGGACACTAATATAGTTATTGTTCTTTGTGTAACCTGTCATAAATATGTAAATACAAGAAATTGTTTTTTATTTTCTTTTTTTTTTACTGTAAATGGGCTTCAAATGAACAAATATGAAATTATAGGTTGTTCAAATTTATAATTCAGATTTAATTTTATGCTTACAACCATAAGTGTAGCATGTTTATTTATTAATAAAATTCAGAACATTTACAATAATAAAATTCATAATTCATGTAAACATATACTGCATATTTTGCAGCCACGTCAGTTCAGAAAATGTGGAAAATATTTCACCCAAAAAAATAAAATTCTGAGGGTGAGTAATTAATGACAAGAGTTTTCATTTTTGGGTGAACTAACCCTTTAATGCCCTGTCATGACCAAAAGAGCGCAATTCTTCTTCTGAACTGAAAAAGTATATATGTAATATTTATTTTATAACAGATGAGCTGTTTTGGACAGTGACTGGAGGTATGAAGTTCTTCACCTCGAAGTTAGCGCTGTCACTTAGCTGGTTTTGAATTTCAGTGATGGCTTTGTCCACTTTGGCTGCCTCGCTCTCCACCCGCTTCAGGTTGGCGTCGATCAGCCCGATAGTGGCTTCCGCTTCGACCTCCAACCTTTCCAACAGATCATCCTTCTCATCCAACAAAAATTGAACCAGGGCACCAACATCATCTTCGATCTTCTCCTTCAAGGCTTGTTTTTTGAGCTGTTGAGATGTTTGAGATTCAGCATCAAGGCCTCCTCGTGGATCATAAATCCACAGCAGGTTATATAACCACCAATTTTTGAGTCATTTGTATGTATGCAAAGTCAGCGTGGGAACAACTGAGCTTTCATACCTTGACATCAGTTTTGGCCTGCTCGTCTGTGCTCTTTACTCTCGTACACATGGACTTCTGCCAGTTCAGTTTGATGAGTCTCAGCTTCAGCTCACTCTGCATATTAAAACAAGAGAGAAATCTTTCAACTTCAAGCATGCACAAAATTGATGCCAAGTACAATAGAAGAAATGGTTCTGGGAAGGATCTTGACAACATCTATGGATCGTATTAATGTAGCAGCACCAACTATGTAAACAAAGAGTTAAAACAGTTCAAGTGCAACAGTTCACATAATGAAACTGGACACTACACTATGAGGGAGTTTAAGATTGCACACTTCAATAACCTTTGGAATGTGTTGTAGAGTTGCTTTACATTTTGTGTTTATTCACTAGATTCATTTTCTAATAACAGTTCTCTTTTCAGTCTGCAAAAGAATATTCTTTCATTCTGATACTCACCTGTTGCTTTACACTCCATCTAATATTTGAACATGTTTGACCTTGGGCTCTGAACAAGGAGTATAAAAATAATCCAAAGGAACAGATAATTCACGCATGTGAAAGGTGTCGTACTTCGCTAATGTGGAAATTTCCAGAAGGGAAGGATAAGGAAGAATTCTTTGCCCACCAACCACAGTGACTGATGCACTGATTTAGATTTTTTTTAACAGTCATTTTTAGCTTTCAAATATTTCAAATATATAAAATAATAACATAATATAAAAAATAAAATACAGATTTCCACTTAACTTCCCATGCAGAGTTTTAATTTGGAACTTAATTTAGGTTAACAACAAATATTATAGGAATTTTATAACTATGAAAATAAATATCAAAATACATTTAATAATTTATTACATAAAATACATTTTAATAATATAAACATTTCAAATATAAATAGGCTATAAACATACATACATACATATATATATATATATATATATATATACACAATTTTGTTGAAAATTGATTTATTGAAAAATAAATATACAGAAAATGTATTATTTATTTTAAAAATTAGTATAGAGCCCTTTGTTAACTTAGGTTAACAACAAATATTAGCCAGTATATTTGGAATTATACAACTATAAAAATAATTTTTACAAAAATGTATATTTACATTTTTTATTGAAATACGATTTAATATAATTATATCAATAATATAATATGAATATACTGAAAATGTATTATTTATTAAAAAATGAATGTACAGAGCTCTGCGTTAAATTCAAAGCTAATTAAAATTGCAAATGGTCAAGGTTCATTTCTAGTGTTCACATTAGACTACAAATATGAAGAAAAACTCTTCACACACATTTGTGTATCGGGCCCCAGCAGCTGTTAGATGAGCAAAATTGCGCAAAAAGTACCAGCATTTGGTGTTAATTTCACACCTAGATCCAGAAAACACCAGACACTGCTCACATAGTATTTGGTTTGAAATGTTCTAAAAAAAAAAACCTCAAGACTGCAAACACCACAATCAAGTAATGGCTACGAGTTACACAATCAAGCAATGGCTACGAGTAAGACATTTCCAAGGCTATCTGGTAAGAAAAAGCACTTAACGTATGTGCTAAATGCCACATGTACATACAACACTGCGGTGACAGAGAGTCACTCCTTGCTCCAGCACCAAGGTTAGCAATACATGTCAATGGCTTCTGGTGCCAACTCTGGCATTTAGACCAAGATAACAGGAAGGAGGTCAAGAAGGAATGAAAAAGACACTACAAACAAGTGACAGAGACAGAAAGGCTAAATCAAATCAGTTACACAACAGACAAAACCAAGCAATGTCAAACCTTCATGTCTTCAACAACCTCGGGTACAGGAGCAACATCATGGTGTCTAGAAAAATAATAACAATGACATATGATGCTTCATTTCTAAAGCCATTTTCATCTAAAATGCTACAGTGGAGTACATCTGGTCCTCAGACAGAGCAGAGGTCAAAGCATCGAAACCTACTGAGATGCCCACACAAACAGCATTTTGAGCATATAAACCCAAAATTGATGTCTAGGCAGGTAGCTCGCTAGGTTTTGAGTAAATATGGGGAACATATTCAGGTGACTGAGCCTCACCTGTGGGCTCTGGATTCCCGACACACCACGCAGATGGGCTTCCTGTCCGTGTGGCAGTACAGTTTGAGCTCCTCGTGGTGTCGCTCACATTTCCCGTCCATCTTCACGGGTTTTGCGGGTGCAGAGGGCCTACACGTCTTCAGATAGTCGAAGTCGCTCAGTTTATCCACTAAATTCTTTACCAGGTAATTCTTGGTGAAACTCATTTTCGCGAACACCTGCAAAAAAGGACAAAGTTGCATGTACGACGCAGAAAAGTATCGGTGCTGTGTATTGACAAAAGGCTCGCGCGGCGATTTGTATGTTATGATACAATAAACGAGGTCGGAGAAATCACACCTATTATTGTCAACACAGTAAAATCCGGTTGTTATTTAGACTGCCGGTTTAGGTCCTAGTGCATGATTTAGACGCGAATGTAACGTTATAGAAATCCGTTAAGTTCATTCGAGCAGCTGTAACTAAGCAACCCAGAATCTAGCAACATTTATCAAAACAAACCACGCACCATCCTGCACTCCGGACACTGGTAACCCACATCATCGCCTCCATTTTCCTCCCAGTGCATCAAAATGCACATGCGGCAAAAATTGTGGCCGCATTTTAAAATTACAGGGTCGTCGAAATAATCGAGGCAAATAGAACAGACTAATTCCTTCTGAAGCTCTACTCTCGAATCTCCGGCAGTAGCCATGTTTCCCAAAGCAACAGTGTAACAGGGCCAGAAGTAACTCTAGGCGGAAGAAAGAGAGCCCATTCTGGACTCACGTCCTGGTCCAGTCACGTGAGGGCTTGTGGTGAATCTGATTGGTTACGTTATCTAGCTTGCAGAGAAATGTTCTCGAATCGGTTCTTTTGAGCAGTTCGTTTCAAAGAATCCCACCCTTCCTAAACATTCATTTGTTTATTTTGTTCTGTCTTGGATTTGATCTGACTCTGATGTTTCGAGCTTTTTTTTATTTTTTTATTTTTAATGAACTTTATTGAACGATATGAACTACCACAAATGGCCTGGTACAAAAGCAAAATTTCTTAATCAGACAACAGACAAGCATCATAACATAAGATAAGGGGAAAACAATTACTAGGGGTTTTCAGCAAGTTTAAGATTTTCTATTAAATTACAGACGTTTAAGGCATTCTTTTTCATTTGTTTCAGTGACAAAAATAATGACATAGTTCTTTGTGAAATATGTAGAAATTTGGAAGAATTTTCAGGAATCTGTTCTTATGCAAAAATAACTTCCCAAGAATAATGATTGTTAATTGCCTACCTATCTAGTCTTCTACCACGCTACAATCCATCACGCTCCCTAATTAATTGCTAAATCACATGTTTCATATTTCAAAAATAAACCGAATAATTTTCCTTTGTTAAAACAGGGAAATCTTCAAATTTAGTAATGCAGATCTTCCCAAAAGGCACAGGCAAATTTACAATCATAAAAAATATGTTCTGTAGTTTCAATTTGATCATCACAAAAGGAACAGTTGTTAACATAAAGACCAAATCGACATCTCAGAAATTCTCTAGAAAGATATACTCCGTTAAGAATTTTAAAATGGACTTCCTTTGCTTTTGGTGCAACTGGAAAATTCAAATATTTTGTTCTTAAAGTTTTTAACTTCATATTTAGAGAAATATTGGAATATTGAATTTTTATTTGAAGAAAGGATATGATTCCTTAAAGACATTCCGGATTATAGTATTGGGTAAATTTAGGTTAGTAAGAGAAACTCCATTCACCAAAAGCTTGATGTTTTGAGCTTCCCATGTTAGTTTCTTGTTGTAAATTGACTGCTATTGTATTGATATTTTGTATTCAGACGCCATTAAAAAGCCATATGTGGGTACATATTGCGTTTTAATACAGTTCTATCAAATAAAGTGCTTTTATTATGTTTACTGTGGTGAACGGCACATTCCAGGGCCCCCTCTCTGACCACAACAGTGGACAAAGGATTGCTACATTTTGATTGGATCTTGGTGAACTAACACAAACTGTCCCACGCCATCAGATAGAGATACTAGGACAACAGCCAGACACCTCTTAGAGGGCAAGAAGTAGACCTCTGCTACCAAGCCTGGGAAAGACAGGACTTCTCATTGGTCCACATGCAGTTTCTGCCTTTCACCCATTTAGAGACTAATTCCTAAGGTTTTGGCCTGTGACCACCATAAAAATTCCTTAGGTCCTCTGGATGTAGCAGCAGTGGGTGAAACAGAGAGAGATCGGAAAGATCCATCCAAATCCATTCATAACTATGTTTTCAAACCTCAAAATTGATGCAAACTAGCCTACATCACATCCATTTTACACTTACTCAGAGAAATAATTATTCTCAGTGACAGATGTGAGATGTGTAGTGCAACATCTTACACAAATTTAGCAGCTGACGGAAAATGAGAAATGCATTGGTAAATCCATTAAAAAAAAAAAACTTTAAAGACACTTTAGTGACTGTGTGTGCCCCCTCTGAAACCAGCAGCCAATCACAGCACTGAAATGGAAAAGCACCAAATTGTAATCTCTTCCCCTTCAGAAAGGGATAAATGTACCCTTCCAACAGACACAACTTCTGAGTCTCCCGTGAGACAATACACAGCGTTCTGAGTCTCCCATCCAGAGAGGCAGTAACAGATGCACCACGCTCTGAGTCTCCAGCTTTTGAGGCAGCAACAGATTCAAGCACATTTGGAGTTTTAAGCCTGTGAGGAAAGAGACGTCAACAGATACAGTACAATACTTTCAAAGTCTTCGTCCAGCGAGGCAACAACAGATGCAGCATGTCCTGAGTCTCCATCCTAGAGAGACTAAAGCAAATTTGGAGTCTCTGGCCTAGAGAACCTTCACTTTAAGGTACTTTCTTCAGCGTGTTCCAGATTTTAGGACCCTTCAGTGCTCCAGGAGATCAGCATCCTACAGCGCTTCATGTTCAACGGATTCAACACTCATTCGACCACAGGAAAGGTAAATATTTCACAACTATGAATTAACTACAGCTGAACAAACACATTTTAGCACAATTATAAGACGTTCAAATATTTAAAGTCTCAAGACTTTGTTTATTTTGTGCTTCAAGGCCCAGTACATAAAATGCATTTAGCATTGTAAATATTTAGGAGTGAACCATGTACAAAAAACACAATATCTCACCATAAATACCATTTCAAACAAAGATTATTTCATTGTGCCCAAAATGTCGTGCTCATGTTTCTTAACCTGCGAATATGGAAACAATCCAGTGATTTTATTGCATAGCACATTTCTTTTTAAATATTATCAGCCTGATGAGGAATATATTTGTCAGGAGGTGAAATGGATTTGACAATAGGATGCTGGTTTTTCATGGATGCATAAACAGTTTGATATGTCTAACGACAGTGAAGACAACAAAAATGTTATAGCTGATACATCAGTGTCAGTGGAGTGAATCTGGTTTGGAAAAAAAACCCAACTCCAAAAGACAGTCAAACACAAATTTAGAAATCTGAGGGATTTCCTGTGTCAGTTTTTCCCTTATTTGAAAACCACACTCAGTGAGATAAGACTGCAATATTTAATACATGCGGTTCTCATGAATACTAATGCTTAAATTATAACAAGTAATAAAAACAGCAGCAACGAGATGAAATTTGACAACATTTGACAGACTGAATGTAAACTTTGTGACAACAACTATTTGACGGTGATATGAAATGCATATTCAGCATTTCTCCATTAAAAGCTTGGCACTTGCTGTTAAAAACCAGCATATCTGTGATATGCTATGATACAAGCAAATATTTAACACTTGAGATTAGGGCTGCACGATAAATCGCATGCGATATTTAATGCGCATCTTGTCAGTAAAGCCGGTTCTGAAATCAGCGGTAAATCTCCATCACGTGCAGGCTTTCACATGGAGCAGCATTTACTACACAGAGCCGTTGTTCACCGACAAGCTGCGCAAAACATGCGCAAAATATGATCGTGGTTTTGCGCAGCTTGTCAGTGAACAATGGCTCTGTGTAGTTAATGCTGCTCCATGTGAAAGCCCGCACGTGATGGAGATTTACCGCTGATTAAAGAATCGGCTTTACTGACAAGATGCGCGTTAAATATCACATGCGATTTATCGTGCAGCCCTACTTGAGATAAATAAAGGTGAAACACACAATACAGGTGTCAGTGTCGTGATCAGCTCATTTGAATGCACCACATGACCCATAAGAAATTACTTAAACATTCTTAAACTTACTTTTCCTTTCAGAATATCATCATTCTTTCATCTGGTGTTACCCAGTGTTCAAAGTGACAGGGCCAATGAGATTGAGATTTTGACACTTTGTATGGAATGTGCTATGAAAAAATTGTATTCACAACTAATTAAAAGGTAAAAAAAAAAAAAAGTTAGGGTAACAACAACAATAATAATAATTATGATTATTAAATAATAATAATAATAATTTTTAAAAAATGTGAAAAAGACCTAAAAAAAAAAAACTCAATTATTATCAATTATTATTATTTGAAAAAAAAAACTCAATTATTATTATTATTATTTCTTACAAGAAAAGTTATTATTATTATTTTTTAAACTTTTTTTTCTTCTAATGAGTGGTCCTTCTTTATTTTATTGTTTTTATTACTTTTATTATTACTATTACTATTACCAATATTATTCTAGTTAATATTTAATTTTGGATTCAAAAAAATTCATTTTGGAATTTTGGAATTTAATATAACTAAAATGGAACCAAATGAGATATTTTTTCTGTCAATATATCCACTGGCATAAAAGAATATTAAAATGATTAATATTTAAAGGATAATTCTTTCTTTCACATTCTAGTCTACTTCCAAAAAAGTGGGTAGGGCACTATTGGGACCCCTGAGAACTCTGAACACTGGGTAAACCTCAATCTATTATTAGACAAGCAAAAATTCAGAGTTACAACATAAAAAGTAATTTAAAATGATTTCTTTGGGCTGGTGATGAACTGGGTCGTGAGTTCTCCGTAAAATAAAACCTGTCAGAGGCACTTGTTTAAAACAAAGAAAAGAAAACAAATTGATCCCATGTATGACAAAGGAGAACAGTAGGATCTCCGAGTAGTCCATTAGTCCTTCAGACCTCTGAGCTGTCACCATTATCAAGGCTACTTCTAAATATAACAGGCTGCAGGCTGGACGAGACTCTTGGGGCCTTTTTCACAGGCGTCCACCTTGAGCGAACCATCAGTGCCAACACTATAACCACGAGGACGGTGAGAAGCAGTCCCACGACGGCTCCTGCCACAGTCACAGCGTCCTCTTCCGCACCTCGTCCACTGACCTCCCGTGGAGACAGTCCGTCTGCGAACAGCTCCTCCCCAGACGCAGAGCGCCGACGGCTGCGGTCCAGAGCGATGTGCATGATATTCGTTCCTCGGTTGTTCTCGGGTCCAATCTCCTCCGCCAGTATCGGGACTTCTCTGTTGGACCGTCTGTAGCGTCCTCTGGCCTCCGCTGGAACAAGGTCACCTGATGTTATTGAGTGGTACTCTACACTTCGCTTGCCAATGCCACGCTTGGCGTTGTCTTTTGAACGCACAGTGTAGATGGTGTGAATGAACCACTCCCTTCCTACTGCCACCTAGAGACCAGAAGGATAATAGAGGATTTGAGCAAGGTTGACTTTGTAAATGACAGGAATCCAGTACAAGATGTCACACTGTATATAGTTCTACAGTACCATAACTAATAAACCTTCAAAAAGATTAGACCTGGAAAAGAGGAGTAGAATCCAGTCTGAATCCGTCAGATCCTGGCTGCTTCACCAGAGAGAGGGCAGAGGGGTCATCTACAGCCAGCAGGGCCTTGAAACTCACGTCCCCAAAACTCTTGGCCTGAGTCTCTGGCTGCGCTTTGTCCTAGAGGCAAGGTGGAGTCATGAGACTTTTTTCAGACAAATGTTACTGAAAATGTCTTAACAGACCACTTAAATTATGTTTCATAAAATAACACATTTCAATTATTATTATTATTAACATATAATTTATTTAAATTGTATAATGCATAATTTATTATAAAATGAAAGACAAATATAAAAACATGTGCATGCATTTTATTTTAAAGACTTGTATACAGTGTTATTTTAGTATTATTTATAGTTTTATATACTATTTAATAATTCGAATGAGCATTTTAGTAATTTTGTTATGTTTGTCATTTTATTAGTTTGTGTCTGTCTTTTTATATTTCTATTTAGCTTTCATTTATATTTATTTCAGTTTTAATTTTAGTACTTCAGTTAGCTGCCAAGCTTTCAAGTTTTTCCATTTAATATTTACATTTTTAATTAGTTCAATTAGTTTTAGTTAACACTAACAACACTGCTAACATACTCACAATAATTTTGAATCTGTACAGCAGGGATGGAGAGTCTGCAAGGCATCCGAACTCAGACTTGGCGGGGTTGTATTTAGGAACATATCCATCAGCGCCGGTGCACAGATACACCTTCTCAATGTTACAGTAGAAAGAGCCACCCAAGTTCTGCACAGGGTCCACCATCACCCGTCCATAGATTGTGTCACCTTGAAGAGAACAAGCTCAGTGTCAGCATAACACAGAACAGGAAATGTAAATCACAAGAATGGCAGTTAATTTGACTTATATTCAATCACACAGCCTCTTGAACTGATTAAGTTAGGTGTTCCAGTTAGACGTACCCTCAGAGAAAGCCGCATCACTCTCTTGACCGAAGCCCATAGATCCATCTGACAACCACAACGCCTTCTTAGACAACAAGAACATCTGTGTGTTCAGACTGAACTCCACCGCGACAGGGTCACTCACCTACAGAAAGCAAACACAATAATACTTCTTTACAAGAGCCTCAGGTTGAACTGATAAGATATATCACAAATACATATTTCATTCTGATATACAAGCAACTGATTAATTATAAAATTATACAAAAATATATATTATTTATAACACACACACACACACACACACACACACACACATGTCTGGTCAGCTATCCTTGTGGGGACTCTCCATAGGCGTAATGGTTTTTATACTGTACAGACCGTATTTTCTATTGCCCTACACCAACCCTACACCTAAACCTACACCTCACAGGAAACTTTGTGCATTTAAAACTTAATTCTGTGTGATTTATTAGCTTGTTTACCCGTGGGGACCTCAATTTAGGTCCCCACCGTGACACGAGTCCCCATGAGTCTGTGTGTATTCAGGTTTAAGTCCCCACCAGAATAGAAAAACAGGTACACACACACACACACAAGAGAGCCTGTTTGCATTTTTCTAATTTAATACACTTCTTTCTATTATCAATTCTATTATCAACAAGTAGAATGAACATTTGAAATAAAAAGCTTGAATTTGAACATTTATTTCACTTTTGCTTTAAATGACAGATTTTTTTTTTTTTAGTTTACCTGCTGAAAGCGGATATCAAGATCAAAAGTAACCGGCTCTCTAGGGTTGCAGACCGGAGGAACAGTGTACTCCACATTCAGCGCTGCTGTACAGGGGATCAGCTTCACTGTGTATGTGCCTGAATAATCTCGAACCTGCAGGTCACAGACACACAGGCATACAAGTTGAACATCACATTCATTGTTTTACATTAGTTTTTCTCAAATGGTTTTGCTTTAGCACACAGCTTTTACATTGGCCATCATTTGGTGACTCAACACCGCCAGAACTGTTTATCACAAAAAGTAAACAGAAATGACCTTAAAACCACAAAGTGGGGAAAGAGACATCAACTCACTGCAAAGTCTGAAATGAACATCCATTGCTGGACAGGCTGGCTGTAGGTCAGCTCAGTCCTAACCAGAGTGAGGTTGAAGGTCAAGCCTGGGTGGTCTGCACTCAATACAATGGACTTCACAGGGGATGCTGGGTAATCAGGTAAGATAGCAAGTTAGTTTAATCAAATCAAGGCGTTTGTTCTATAAACCATTTAAGAAGAGAGATATGATAGTTAGATTTTACCTGCAGTCTTCTGACCCCTCAATTTCGCTGCTGGAAATAAGGCAAAAAGTTCATTACAGTGTTAATGCTGACAGCAAATTTTGAGTTTTAGTCATAGTCTTTTGACTAAAATGCCATTTAGTTTTAGTCATATTTTAGTCACCTGAATTGTTTTTAGTTTTAGTCTAGTTTTAGTCGACTAAAATCTAATGGGTTTAGTTACAGTGTAATGCATTTATTAAGCATTTCTCCAAAATTTCCAAACTCATTATATAGGTTTGATATTAAGGTTTTATCATGATAGACACCGATTTAACTGCGGTGACACACAACATGCCTTTGTTAAAATTAAATAAAACCACTACGTTCACTTAAGACGTAATCATCTGTGTTTACGTGAATACTCGTCAAAACGGACAATTCAACATCATTTTGTGTGTAATTCTCCGTTCATGCGACGCGAGAGAGTACTTGTGTGCTGTGAGACGTGCTTTCTGTGTGTGTATGCTTCGGTGTCTGCGCTCAGAAAACCGGACCGAATTGAGCTCTCTCTTGCGTCGTCAGATTTATCTATATGTCTGCTCTTCTCTTACTCCCACATATTGACATTTTTGAACGTTTTATGCGATGTGCAGCAAGTGTATGTTAGCTTATGTCCCGCAGGCTCAAATGTACGCATCTAACCTCCTAACCACGCAGCAGATTCGTTCTGAAATCGAATGAATCTCTTCCCAAATCGTCCCTCCCTAACATTTTCGTCGCGTTTTTATTCGTTGACGAAAATGTCAATATATTTTCGTCATAGTTTTTGTCATTCAAAAAAAGTTTTGGTTCGTTAGCGTCTCATGGTCGTCTGTGATAAAAATGTCGTTGACGAACATTATGACGAAAATTATTCGTCAACTAAATTATCTTTAAAAATTCATCTTTCCATAAGAACAATGTTGATGTATATATTAATATTAATATAATTAATACAATTTCAGAGATGCCAAAACGCACCAGAATGTGCCTCTACAAACAACCCCCTGAAGCGAGTCTCTGTGCGGAAGTTCACCACAAGCCTCCCCTGCTCATTGATCCTCATGCTGGTTGGATATAAAGCTCCTGCAGAGAAAACATGTCCAATGTGATTATCTTTTCATTTTAAATATTGTATGTCTTCCCACTTAAAGTTCCAATTTCCACATCCTGAACTAGTTCTGTAATCCTCTAAATGTCCACATGTGACATCTGTATCCCTAAAATATGGGAATTTGGCAAGAGATGTGCTCTCCTATCGCTTCCCATTTCTATGACAGCCAAATATAAAATAAAAATAACCAATTGTACACATAACACAAATGTATTGAAAACAGTATTTTATATTCGTAGAAAAAGCACTGATTGCCCTGATTGAACTTTTATTAAACATTTATTACAGAAGGGAAAATAGAATCCAAAAATAGAGAAATTCTGGCCAATTAACATCAACACTCCTAAAATTGAGGAAAAAAGTACTTTTAAATATATTGATTGAATATATTGACAACTAAAATATATTGATTAAAGCATTTATTGATCTTTATTAAAGAGATAGTTCACCCCAAAATGAAAATTCTATCATTAATTACTCACCCTCATGTCGTTCCAAACCCACAAGACCTTCATTCGTCTTCTGAACACAAATTAAGATATTTTTGATGAAATCCGAGAGCTTTCTGACCCTGCATACAGCAACGTAACTACCACATCCAAGGCCCAGAAAGGTAGTAAGGACATTGTTAAAATAGCCAATGTGACATCAGTGGTTCAACCTTAATTTTATGAAGCTACAAGAATATTTTGTGCGCAAATGAAACAAAATAACGAATTTATTCAACAAGTCTTCTTTTTATTTTTGTAAACATGGACTATTTTAACAATGTCCTTACTACCTTTCTGGGCCTCGAAAGTGGTAGTTGTGTTGCTGTCTATGCAGGGTCAGAAAGCTCTTGGATTTTAATCAAAAATATCTTAATTTGTTTTCTGAAAATGAACAAAGGTCTTACGGGTTTGGAATGACCATTTTTGGGTGAACTATACCTTTAATGTTAGTTAGTAAAAATATTATTGTTCATTGTTCATGTTAGTTCACAGTGCTTTAGCTAATGTTAACAAATACAACTTTGGATTAAAAAAAATGTATTAGTAAATGTTAAAATTAACATTAATAAATGCTGTAGAAGAATGGTTCATTATTACTCCATGTTAACTAATGTAGTTAACTAATGCTAACAAATAAAACCTTATTGTAAAGTGTTAACTTTAAAGCTATCAATCTATCTTTTAAAACTAGAATTATTTTTTAAACTATATTATTTTTCCTCATCCTATGGGGGCATAAAATGTCCCCTAATTAAGGAATCACCTATTTGATTTATTTATTTTTTTTAACACATAAATAAATTTGTGCTCAAATTCACAACTTGCCTTGCAGTTCTGCATGTGGAGGGCTGCCGACTCCATCCCTCCACAAGATGGCAGTGTCATACACAAAGGTGAGCCGCAGTTCAGAATGCAGATCGAAGTGTTGCCAGCCTCCAGCTCCCACAGGGGAATGAAACACGTAAGAGACGTGGAGAGGAACTCGCAGGGTCACGTATGACTGCACCAGGTTCAGCACCTTTCAAAAACACATTCAAATGAGATTGAAGATGAATAGCAACAAATACTGCAAAAAGATTTTTAAGATAAAAAAAAAGAGCCCAATTCTCCACTAGAGGTTGCTATTAATCAGCACTGGCTGTTAGTCAAAGTAAAGTTCATCAATAAGCCAGGATGCATTTTGTTTTGATTGAATGAAACATTTGCTAATTTACATAGTCAATTATAATCAAAATACCAGGCTATAAAAATGTGCTCCTCAGTAATGAGGCCGCTCTGAACACCTGCTGGACTGGGTTTAATCAAGACGAGAAAAATCCCCATGAACATTGTCAAATTCCCATCCTGAGGGAGAGAAGATCCAGGCTTTTCATATTCAACCGGCTCCGTTCAATATCCTCAGCAGGATCCGAGCACGTCCTTTAGATGAAGTGTTTTGAATTCATGTCTTGTGTTACGGAGCTATTGCAGACTTTAAGGCTTATTTTTGTAATAACATAGATCATTCAGACATTTAGACGCTAGATAAGGAGGGGGGAGCAGCCATTTAAAGCAAGACCTCAAATTCTGAAATGAAATGAATGAATACAAAAGTCAATCTCCTCTTCTATTGAGAACAATGAGGAGTGTGGCAGAAATAAAACCCAGAAGAGAGCTATGGCTGTCACTAAGTGCTAATTATAGATGAAAACAAAGAAAAAGTCCAGAAGAAGAAACCTACCTATGGAGACGTGTGTTCATGGAGAGGTGTTAATCAAGTTTATCTTGCATGTTCTGTTTAAACGTGCTATTTCCCACTCTATACATGGTCTATACAGCAGATGACTGGTACCCAAAACACATACAATGAAGCCAGTAATGGAAATTATGGGCTAAATCTACACCAAATTCTCATTTTCTGCTTAAAGGGGTCATATGATGCTGCTAAAAAGAACATTATTTTGTGTATTTGGTGTAATGAAATGTGTTTATGCGGTTTAAAGTAAAAAAAACATTATTTTCCACATACTGTACATTATTGTTTCTCCTCTATGCCCCGCCTTCTGAAACGCGTCGATTTTTACAAAACTAATCGGTCTGAAAAGCGAGGTGTGCTCTGATTAGCCAGCTATCCAGTGCGTTGTGATTGACCGAATACCTCAAGCGTGTGACGGAAATGTTTAACTTTTATAAAGAATATCTCTTTGGATTTGAGACTTTAGTCTTTGCAAATTTACAGATCTTCTTTATGCACCAAGAGCTTGTAACACTCCAAAGAGAAAGGAAAAAATGAAATCGCATCATATGACCCCTTTAAATAAATTTGGCATATTTTGTTCCTTAACTTTGCATTATACAGATTTCATTATAGCTTTTAATTTATTTTAAATTAACTTTTTAATTTTGCATCATTCTGTGTAATACTTAATATAGTGTAGTTCCTTCTTTTTATGGCAAGCCAAACAAGCAGTTATCTGTGAAATGTTGAGTTAGATTTAATAAAAAATGTCAAAAATACAGTATAAATTGTAATATTGTGAAATAAAATGTCAATTTACCATAACTTTTTTTTTCTATTTTAATATATTTAAATTGTATTTTTCTTATCATCACTCCAGTTTTGAGTGTCACATGATCCTTCAGAAATCATTCTGATATGCTGATTTGCTACTCAAGAAACATTTCTTATTTTTATTAATGTTAAAAAAGCTCTGCTACTTAATATTTTTGTGGAAACTATGGTATTTTTTTCCACCCAGAACAGTATTTATTTAAAATAGAAATCTTTTGTAACATTATAGATGTATTTGCTGTCACTTTAATGCCTCCTTGTTGAATAATTAATATAATAATAACTGACCCCTAATCTTGTGAACGACATGTGAAGGGGAAAAAAAAAAATCAAATTTGGGCCACTTTTACAATGTGAACTCATCTTAATGGAATTTTGCTATGATCTGGCTAAAACTATAAATGATAACTGAGATAAATGAGGAATCAGAATATCTATTGTCTTCTCAGACCATTTATGTGAATTCTTTTATGTGCGTTCTTTTAGCTCTAGGACAAGAACAGTTGCAATTTATGAACCACTAATCATTAGAATTCAGAGGATTCTAAAAGCGGCGGCGGCGGCGACGTCTCACCTGCCCATCTGTTCCGATCGTTCCCCCGCAGTCTGTGAGCAGCTCAGACATGTCATAATAACTCACAAACTCCCACAGACAGGCCTCCAAGTTCAGGTTCCTGTAAAAGCGTAGAGTGCTCTGGCCTCTGAGGACGGGGCTGTACTGATACGGCAGAGTCTCTCCGATGCTCTCTATATTCCGGCTGGCCTTGGTTAGAAATCCATGGTGTGTGGACACCTCATTAAAGTCCAGCAGATTGGAGCACCTGTGGTTTCCCACGCGAGCGCCATCGGGGCTCAGAGTCAGCTCAAAATTGGACAGTGCACGAGTGGAGACCACAGGGAGCATGCCTGGAGCACACCACATAGAAAATACATGACAATTAACAAACTAAAATCACTTTCATTGCATCGGTTAAGATGAATATGTCTCTCTACTAATAATAAGCTATAGAACTGAAATACGAATCTGAAAAAGAAAAACCTGAATCTTGTGAGATTTAGAAGCATTACCTGACAATATTTAATGGATGTTATTATTTACTTAAAATACAAAAAGGAGATAATTTGAAGAATGTGTGTGCTTCTCTAACAACATCAGCAATCAAAACAACTAAAATACCATAAAAGTAATTAATTTGACTTTTATGCACTATTTTCCTTATGCTTTAAAACCATATGCACAAATTTAGTTATGAAACACATTTCTGTCATGACAACTCTCGGAGGTATTGGCATGGTAATGTACATTACAATGTTAATATGTTTGGTCTTTGCGGAATAGATCTGCTACGTTACTGCTAAGTACAGAGACTTGCTACTGCCAATACATCCACAATATGCTGCTGTGAGCATGTAAGAAATACTGCTGCTGCACATATAACATGATCACCCCATAGCAGATCTATACAGGTGGAGCTGGGGAAGGTGGAGGGTTTCTGCAGTATCTGAATGTTGAGTAGCGAGCTTATTGGCTACCAATACAGGAGAGAACCAATCAGCTGTGACATGTGATAATGATGTCATTATGTCAGATTGAGTTAAACCTATCGGACTGCGCCATCTAGAATTTCATGCCAGAAATTTGGATTAGAACCTACAGTATACTTAAATGTTAGCGCAAATTGATTTGAGAGCTACTACAGACAGAAAGATTTTCACTTATTGTCTTAAATTTTCATCTTTTCCTTACACAAAGCTACCATATGGTTTTAGAAGTTTAGGAATGTAGTGTACGAGTTATATGGGCTACTTTTATAGTGTTGTTTTTGGACAATCTAAAAAACAACACTGTAAATGGACATTTTATAGCTTTCCATTTTTGGGCAATCTTCAAAAGTGTATCTTTGTGTTCCACAGAAGAAATAAAATCACAACATGAGGGTGAGTAAATGATGATAAAATATAAATTTTTATAATAGTTAAATTGCACATTTTGCCTGCAGTAAAGGTAGTGTCACTGTATTGTAGGAACGCTATGGAAAAGTACACTTAAAAGCAAACAGCTTTTGATTGGTTAGGAAGGTAAAATTAACGTAACCATATTTAGTCAAATGGCCTAGATTTCTGGCGTGAAACTTGTGACAATTTTTCCCCAAAATACTTTAAAATACTTTACCCTTTTATTATTTTTTTCCCAGAAATCATTTTGATGGAGGACAAACATGATTTTGATGGAAAATGTTGTTCGCAAATGTGTGACATGGCACTTCATGTTTATGCATCATTCAGACTTTGATTTAGGCTTTTGAAGAGAGCTATAATATTTAGTTTTGACAGCAAATATGGCATAAATCCTACAAGAATGCCAGCTTTTTTCCCAAGGGGATATGTGAGAGGGGTTTCTCTCAGAGGGGCTGAACTAAGCAAACAACCTGGCAGCCAGAGGGGAAATAATTCTCTCACCGTCTATGTGGGGCATGCTGACAGTAAGCTTGACGAGATTGGCATATTCAGGGTCTTCAGCACCTGTATAACGCAGTTTGGCAGAAAAGGGCTCAGCACCTACTGTGCCCAATTTACGTGGCTGGCACATCCCTGCCCAGGAACATCAAAGACATGAAACATTACTTCAAGCATATTACCACCTACTGACAGCCTAATTCCACATTGCAAATGGCATATTATAACCAGCAGCTCAGGAAGAGCATAATGTTCTTTAGTGCTGCTATACAAAGCAAAGCATTTTTATATGATTCCACATAATGTGATGGTTTCGGGCTCACCTTCTTCCATGCTAATAGACACAATGGGGCTGCTCAGTTCCAGCCCCTCATCCCCGTTAGAATTCACAGCACGGGCTGCGCACTGCACTCTAGAACCCACTTGGAAGTAAATGGAGTCTAGGGTGATCATCTTGGAGGAAGTAAAGAATGTATCAAAGTCAGCCTCTCTCATGGGGCTGGTGACGCCATCCGGACCACTGGGGGCGCTAATGAGCCATCGGTAACGAGTCAGTGTATCGTTGATGCGTTCGCTAATGCAGATGGAGCCTGTTTTGTCATAGTCGGGATATTTGGGATTGCAGGCCTGGATAAATCAGAGAAATAAACAAGGACAAGAGAGAAAATCTGACAATGAAAACACTACATTTTAAAATAAAAAATGCTATTCGATTAAAAAAAAGTACAATTATTAGATTTTTTTTTACTTTTACACAGCAAGCACGCATGATCAAAAGTGACAGTAAAGACATTTTTAATATTACAAAATATTTCTGTTTCAAATAAATGCTGTTATTTTGAACTTGCTATTCATCGAAGAATCGTGAGAAAATACATCAAGGTTTTCACTTAAATAAAAGATTTGTAATAAGAAGAAAAAATTTTTTGAGGACCAATCAGCATATTAATAAATCAGCACAATGATTTCTGAAGGATCATGTGACAGAAGACTGGAGTAATGGCTGCTGAAAATTCAGCTTTGCTATCACAGGAATAAATTACACTATAAAATATATTAAAATAGAAAACTTATTATAAAGTGTAATAATATTTCACAATATCACTGTTTTTACTGTATTTTTGATCAATGGTTAATATATGTTTTTAAACTTTCAAAAAACAACAACAGCAAAAAAAAGCGACAAACCCAAATTTTTAAGTAGTGTACATAATATAATATAATATAATATAACTCTTTAATTAAAGCCTTTATTTATAATGAATTATAAAAGTAGTTTTAATGTATTAATTATGCCTTGTAATGCCCCGTATGAGGCATTGTATGATCTCATGAATAATTGTAATAAGTTATAATAAATTATAATACTTATCATTATAATACTTATTCATTGTTACACGTTTAGAAAGCATAAAATGCATTAAAGCGCATGAAAAACAAACCTTCAAACATAAATCATTTTAACTTTGGTTACTATTATTTATGAAAACGAAGATTTAATGCATTACAGTATACATTATGAATACCTTTACAATTATACATAAGGCTTTAAATAACATGTTAACTATAATATAATATAATATGATGATATAATATGATATGATATGATATAATATAATATAATATAATAGTAGAGGAATTTGGCAATCATTGAATACCATGGTACACATATCAGACTACCACAGTTTTACCATCATTGTTCAGTGATATCATCACAGTACTTCCACACAACAAACTCCTGCACACAACAGACTTCTGTTTAATCATTTATCACAGGAAACAACAGAGGATTTGAAAGATTAAACACTGTTCTGTTGTGTTTCTTGCGCACTTTCTTAAGTCCTAATGGTTTAAGAAAAGCACAATCACCGTGAAGCCTATTACTACATGTTTATAGCTTAAGATTTGAAAAATCATTATAATCTTATAATCTTTTTCATTCACTTGTACTTCAAGGACCTATTAAAAACTTGATAAAAATGACCACATAATTAGCATTAAAAATGCATTTAAAATGAATATATGAATGACGCTGGTCACAAGTAAGTAGGGAAATGTGTCTCACTGACTTTTTCTTCTGACAAACATACCGTGACGCAGACGACAGGGTATCCAGCGGGTGGGTGAGCATTTTCTTTGGTTCGTCTGACAACATCGTAATGCAGCAGTGACACAACATGAGGCAGTGAAGGGAACGTGACATCAGCCATACTGTTGGTCTCTTCAATGTACACTATGGCTTTAGTCATCTGCCAATACGAGAGACACAGATTTTCAATTTACATAAACTGTGTATTAAACTCCAGATACGTACCACAGGGAACATCTATTACCTGGATTTCAGCAACCATGTTCTCGTCTGGTTTCAGATGGACAGTGAAGGCCTCTCTCATCTCTCTTACGCCATCAAACAAAACCTCCACTTCCACTACATGCTCGATCTCACCAGCTTTAAACTCAACATCTGCGCACACACGCACACACACAAAATATATGATTACATCCACTAAAAGATAAACACATCCTAACATTTCTTCTCCTAAGTGCTTCCACACCTGATTGCATTTGTCATTTGCATCCTGAACTCTATATAACCTGATGGAGACAGGAAATGCATGCATGTGGAAGCAGCTTGGAGCCACCTGCCAATCTACAAAGGATAATTAGATACGGCATATTCAAAATGCAAATGACCCGTTCTGGCCTCCAGAAGCCTCACCGAGGGAGATGGGATGGTAGTCTTCTCCAGATATGGCAGAGCCGTCTTTCGTGTGCACCCTCACCAGGGACACTTTCGAAACGTCTCCCGTCCTGTGGATAGGGATCTTCACCAACGTCATCTGCCCCGACTCTTTTGGCTCACTAACACTGAACTTTGTCTTGGCAAACTTGATGATGGGCTCTGAGAGAGGAAGATGAGAAGACAGGTTTTGTGCATTAAAAGATTCTTAGCCGAAAGAGAATCTGTTTACTGAAGTTTGACCCAAATTCTAGAAATCTGAACCTAAATGTCAGGTATTTATTTAATATTCATCTAATGTGTATTTCAGATGAAAAATGTTTTTGTTTCTTTCTTACTGTCAGTGTTGTCCTTGATCTTGATGAGCGTTTCATTCTGGTTGCCTATGGATGCTCCGTATGGCGAGTCGCTCTTCGCGCTCCCCAGAACCAGCCTCAGTTCCTCCTCCTCCTCATGAATCAAATCATCCACCAGCTTCAGCACACAGGGTTTTTCAGACTCACCTGGGGAAAATATAACCCACCTCAACATTTATTCACCATTCAAAAAATTCATTAAAAAACGAAACTGACAACATTGTGCAATTAAACAAAGCATGACCTCCTTTTTGGACAAATATTTATGTCACTTGAATAGCAGATATCAAGTGAAGTGTGTGATTTTTACCCGTTTAATTCAGGTTTAATTCATTTAGTTGTTTGCATGTTCATTTGCTCATTCATCATTTCTTTTTTACATTCATCCATTCATTTGTTTGATTGTTCATTTATTCAGTTGTATTTCCCCATTCCACATCCTAGCTTAGAGGATCATCACTCGCATATTTTACTTGAATTTGAGGTTAATACAGGTGAAGAGTGTAATTTTTTAAACGGTTGAATTCAAGTTTAACCGTTTAATTCAAGTTTAATTCACTCACCTATTTGTTAGTTCATTTATTTATTTGTTTGTTTATTTACAAAATTTGTTCATTAATGTACTCAATCATTAATCTGTCCATCATTGCTTCGTTTGTTCATTCATTCGTTAATTTGTTTATTATTTATTTGCTTGTTTATCAGATCATTTGTTTCTCGTTTGTTCTTTCATTCATTCATTTCATATTTTTGTCCATTAATTCATGCATTACTTCATTCATTTGTTCGCTGATTTATTATTAGTTCATTATGTTTGTTCATTCATTAATCAGGGTTTCTACAGATCTGAACAAGTTACATTTAAGACATTTTTAATACCACCTTATATGAAATTTAAGACCTAAACCTGTGATGGAAATACACATTATATTACATACATATGTGACCCTGGAGCACAAAAGCAGTCATAAGTAGCACAGGTATATTTGTAGCAATAGCCAAAAATACATTGTATGGGTCAAAATTATCGATTTTTCTTTTATGCCAAAAATGATTAGGATATTAAGTAAAGATCATGTTCCATGATGATATTTTGTAAATTTCCTACTGTAAATATATCAAAACTTAATTTTTGATTAGTAATATGCATTGCTAAGAACTTAATTTGGACAACTTTAAAGGCGATTTTCTCAATATTTAGATTTTTTTTTGCACCCTCAGATTCCAGATTTTCAAATAGTTGTATCTCAGTCAAATATTGTCCTATCCTAACAAACCATACATCACTGGAAAGCTTAAAATTTCACAAAATTGACCCTAATAACTGGTTTTGTGGTCCAGGGTCACATATATGTAATGTTTAATGTGTTTAATGTAAAAAGAAAACAAAATATCATCGCTGTCATAAATGTTATTTATTATTACAATATACAGTGAACTTTCAGCAGACAATACTCCATTCAAAATATCCCCACAAAAGCACTGCATCACCAAGATTTTTGGTGGTGTAAACGATTTATTCTGAAGCAATATTTTCATCAGTGTTCTATCAGCTTTTACATACTTAAATCTGCATATTTGTTATTTACCTTTATAAAGGCCTATTTTTTACCTTTTTAAATGTAAGCATAATCTTTAATGTCAAATTCTTACAATTGATCAATAAATGTAATATACACTATAGGGCTGTTACCAGTCAGATTAAATAATTTACACTGCAAAATTACAACAACAATAAATAATGTTATGAGATTAATGTTTTAAATACATTTTTGGATGTACAAATAAGAAATGTTGGTGGGGGAAATGCATACTTTTAAACATACTAAACCACCAGTAGGTGGCGGTAAGTCACTTAATGAGTGAGTCACGGAGTCATTTATTCAACCGATTCGTTCAAAATGCTGGATCATTCAGTAACAAAACACCGCCGAGTGTTGATTGGAAAATGTGCAATACTTCTGCTGTGATCTTTGCTTGGAACTATTTTCGTTGATGAAATAGAACAAAACAGTAAATATTGTGTCTAAAATGTAAGTAACTTAATAACTACTTGATTTCTTAACAACTTGTTTATTGAACAAAAATTTGCAATCGCATAATTATTCAGCAAAATAGCCCCCTGGTCATGGTATGTTACTTAACTATATCATGCTATGAATAAACTAAACATTTAGAATTTTGTTTTTTACTGAGTAACTTATCTTTATGTGTGCTGTTACCAGGGCCGCTGCTAGCCAAATGGTTGCCCTAAGCAGAATTGTGTTGTTGTGCCCCCTCCGTCAAATATGGAAGTAAAAAAAAACACCTACTATAGGGGTCAAAATAGAACTTTAATAAAATATAAAAGTAAATAAATAAATAAATTGTAATTAAATGATATTATTTACAAATTGCAATTGTAGCTCTAGACAGTTACATATGGCTACGCTTTTATTAATAGCCTAGAGTTGCCTGATTGATTTTATAGTCTCAAGCATTCAGAAATCACGCAAAAGAAAATTAAGCAGTTTTACTACCATAAAACCATGGTTAATTTTTGTAAGGGTTGTGATGTCCACGTTTTTGTTGAAGAAATTATAGAGGCTGTAGCATTTCTATCGCAAAAAGGTGGCCAAAAATTAAAGATTGTTACACTCATTTGTTTTGAAGAGACAGTGTGAGCCCTCAACATCGCCATCTTGATACCAGAAATACACTATCCATTATCAATCGCTGTTTACATTGAATGTAATAAAATAAGAAGAATCATTCTCGCGCTTCGATGCTTCGCTGGTTATTTTTTGTCACTTAAGTTTTAATCAGGTTATTTGTCCGATCGGGCAAGTAAAAAAAACTTCGGTCTGCCCAATTGTAAACAGTCGCTGGGCCCGTCAGACTGGAGACATTTTAGCGGTAATGTGACGAAAAAATATTTAAGACCCATCGAATCAGAATGCAAGACATTTTAAGACTTTTTAAGGCCTTTTATTAGAAAAACTTTATTTAAGACATCTTAAGACTTTTTAAAGACTCGCGGACACCCTGTTAATTAATCTGTTCATTGTTGGTTTATTTGTTCATTCACTGATTAATTCATTTGTTCTCTGTTTGTTCATTAATTAATTTGTTCATATTTTGTTTGTTTATTCATTCATTTCATTTGTTTGCTTGTTAATTCATGCATTCCGTTATTTATTTGTTCGTTCATTTATTAATTTGTTCATTGTTTGTTTGTTTGTTCATTAATCTGTTCATTGTTGGTTCATTGTTCATTCATTGATTAATTTATTTGTTCATTCATTAATTTCATGTGTTTGTTCATTAATTCATTCGTTTGTTGGTTCATTCGTTTGTTCATTCATTCATTTGTTCATTCCACTTCCCATGTCAAGTAAAAGACTATTTACCGGGCAAGAAAGTTATGATGGACGTGTCAGTGTTGGGTCTCTCGTCAAAGTCGAACACCACCTGTGCAGAGCCCTGCCGGGTGTAGCAGCGTACAGTGGACTTGTGTATGATGTCTCCGCTGCGGTGTACCATTGCAGTGATGTGACCTTCACTCTCCTCTGCAGTCATCACAGCCTGTTTAAACTGCACTTTTGGCACTGAAGAAAGAGAACAAACAAATCCAAACGCTCTAATATAACAGCCTACCTCCACATCAAGGACAAAAACAATATAGTAATAATTGAGTCTTTCATGCTGTGGGTGAGTCTATGAAACAGTGTATACATGTGTCACAGCCACAATTTTGTAAGAAAAATGTTAAATACTCACAGTCTGAAATGGAGTCGTTGATAAAGATCGTGACTTTCGCTGGCTCTCCCAGAATTCCATTGGAGGGCATCCGGAGAATAAGCTCAAATCTTTCTGTCCCTTCCAGAACAGGCTGGCCTAGGTCATCCAGGATGGTGACCCAGACCGTCTGCATGCTCACACCCGGTGCAAACTCCAAGTTTCTGCTGATTCCCACATAGTCCACCCCCGCTAGCAGATGAACACACAGAAAAAAGGCTAAGGTCAGAGAGAGGTCAGACGATATTTAACAGCAGAAGCATAGGATCCTCACTTTCCATTAATCCTCTCTCAGAGAGACTGCTGTTTCGGCTTTTTTTGTTTTGTTTGAGAAATCGATGTACAGTATAGAGCTTACAGCTTAAAGGGGTCATATGATGCGATTTCAAGTTTTCCTTTCTCTTTGGAGTGTTACAAGCTGTTCATGAATAGATAAGATCCCTAAAGTTGCAAAGACTAAAGTCTCAAACCCAAAGAGATATTCTTTATAAAAGTTAAGACTGGTTCACGCCCTCCTAAAACGCCTCGTTTAAACACGCCCACACATGTCTGCGTCACGATGTGGGAAGATTTGCATTATGCCGCCCAAATGTTCACGCAAAGAAAGAAGACATAACTTTTATACTTGCTGTAGTATTGTTGCATTGAGGAGAAAAAATAATGTACAGAAAATAATGTGTTTTTTGAACCATATAAACATTTCATTACACCAAATACACAAAATAATGTTCGTTTTAGCAACATCATATGACCCCTTTATGTTTGGGTTGACTGCACAGAGGACTCGGATGAACAGAGTTTTTTTTATTTCAGCTTTGCTGAGAGCTCCAAGCTGCATTTTTGATGCCACACGTCACTTGTTCAAGGACTTAGCCGTAATATTCAATAATGCTAGCTGATAACGCTCACATTGATGAAATACCATCGGCCATTCTAGTTTGTTTGCAGAGGAAAAAAAGGAAGAGACAACATTTTAAAAGAAGAGGACTTTTTTATTGATTGATTGATTTTTATTTTTTTTTTACAAATTTATAGCATCTATATTTTCCAAAACAAGTCAGGTTTTCTCCACCCAAAAAAAAAAAAAAGCTTTATATTTTCTTTCACTGGCCATTAATTAAAATGAACTCTACATCTTATATGTAAATGACCTCTGTTATGATAGCACATTGTATGAAATGAGTAACAATGCTGGTTGAGGATGGGAAAAAAGATGGATTATTGGGTAAATCAAACGGTATCACACACCTTCAGCAGAAACTGGGTCTGTTTTGCAGGACCTCACAGTGACCATAGCTTTTTTAGAAAGATCTGTCCCTGTCCTCCACACATGGACTTCAACGTGGCTGTCGCTCTCATCGACGTTATACTCCTGATTGCCAAAATAGAACACAGGAGCTGTGGGGGAAAATAAGCCAAAAAGATAAACAAACTTCCATAAATAATGAATTTCAATGAACTGATTTTTTTCCATGAATTTTACAGTCAACAAAAATGGTTTATTTTATTTAATGAACATTATCCTGTTATTTTTCTTTATTTAATTGGTATGTTAAATTCTCTTTTATATTGTTTATTGTTATCTTACAATATTCCTTTATCATATCTAAACATAACTTTAATATATTTTCTTTTGAAGGATATGAAAATATGTAAGCCTGTAAAATCCAATTAAATACAATGTTCAAAAGTTTCACTGTTAATGTTCGCAGTTACACAAGTGCAATGTAAAACCAGTTTAAAAAGTATTTTATTGCAGAACAGAACTTAGAAAAAAGTTTTATTCATTACAGAATATTAATGAATTTTCCAGCCATGACCTTTAAGGTTTAATTAATTCAAGTGGTATTTTCAGATGTATATTCCGTGACCACAGGAACCCTGTTGATTGCAAATATTGAAATTATAATATATGTACCAACCCTCTAAATCAACCTTCCCTCCTCCTTTTTTATTCTGTGACACACAAGAACACCTTATTATTTACATTTAATTGTAACAGTAGAGAAAAACCCTTGAATAAATCATGTACTGAATAGTAAATCAACCTCCTACCAAGTAATAAAAGCTGCATGACAGCTAAAACCAGCTCTGTTTCATAACCTACAGCTCCACCATCTCAACACCACTGTTCAGTTTGCCGACTGAACAGTGGACGCCGGTTTCTATGACAACAAACTGACACCTTATATGGACGTTTGTGTTTTTCTCACCCATGGCGTCTAAGAGCAGAGGTCCCTGGGAGAGGATTCAACAGCTGTCATCTCACATTATCTACAGGAAGCCACTTTCAAAGAAATGCCTGTAACCTCTCTGTCCAGAACACACTCCAAACACAAGATCAGGTCTCAAATTGCAGGGTTTAATCTGAATAGATTCATCTTCATGAGAATACAAGGTATAAATACCAATAATACTTGCCCTGGACGAAGATTTTGTGGATGTTTCTATACATCTCTGATAACTAACAGACCAAAACATTTTTTTTTATTTTATTTATTTTTTTACAGCCGTGGCGTATTAAAAATCATTTTCATAATTGAAACAAAGGTCAAATATAAATATCAAATGAAAATTTGAAATGTTGACTTGGCAAGTAAAAAGACTATAAAATAATTGAAATAAAAATTAATGCTATCTGAAAGCTTGTTTCTGCCATTGAATAAAGGTAATTGTGACTTTTTAACTCAATTCAGATTTTTATTTTCTCGCAATTTCGAGTTTACATCTCGCAATTCTGGCTTTTTTTCTCAGAATTGCGTGATGTAAACTTGCGATTCTGGCTTTTTTCTCAGAATTGCGTGATGTAAACTTGCGATACTGACTTTTTTCCTCAGAATTGCGTGACGTAAACTTGCGATTCTGACTTTTTTCTCAGAATTGTGTGATGTAAACTTGCGATTCTGACTTTTTTCTCAGAATTGCGTGATGTAAACTTGCGATTCTGACTTTTTTTCTCAGAATCGCGTGATGTAAACTTGCGATTCTGACTTGTTTCCTCAGAATCGCGTGATGTAAACTTGCGATACTGACTTTTTTCCTCAGAATCGCGTGATGTAAACTTGCGATTCTGACTTTTTTCTCAGAATGGCGTGATGTAAACTTGCGATTCTGACTTTTTTCTCAGGAATCGCGTGATGTAAACTTGCGATTCTGACTTGTTTCTCAGAATCGCGTGATGTAAACTTGCGATTCTGGCTTTTTTCTCAGAATCGCGTGATGTAAACTTGCGATTCTGACTTTTTTCTCAGAATCGCGTGATGTAAACTTGCGATTCTGACTTCTTTCTCAGAATTGCGAGATATAAAGTCTGAATCACGTGAAAAATTGCATGTTATAAAGTCAGAATTATGGGATATAAACTTGCAATTCTGACTTTAATTGTGAGTTTACATCTCACAATTCTGACTTTTCTCAGAATTGTGAGATGTAAACACAATTAAAGTCAAAAAAAGTCTGGATTGCAAGGAAATAAGTCAGAATGGCAAGTTTGTATCTCACAATTCTGACTTTGTTTTTCACAATTGCGAGTTTATATCACGTAATTCTGAGATAAAAAGTAATGATTACCTTTTTTATTTTTTATTTAGTGACCGAAACAGGCTTCCAACTACACAGAAATATAAATAAAAATGACAAAAGTACTAAAACTACAATTAAAGTGAATTAAAACATACCTGAAAATATAAAAATAATAGTTAGTTAAATTGAATTAATAGATACTATAATAATACTAAATACTACTAGAGATAAAAATATGCAATTATCAATAATTTCTGCACGTCAGTTTTTGACTATTTAAAACACTGACATTAAGACAGTGAATCCTTCACATTTTCTCGTAATTGCCCAAGAAAAAGGTACTAAATTATTGTGAGTGATTTCAAGGGTGTTGCTATTTGGTTGCTAAGGCATTCTGAACATTTGTTGCCATGTTTTTGCAAGGTGAATTCTTACTGGACCACGTCTCTAAAACATTCTCGTCCCTAGATACAGCTTGAGACATTTTTTCAAAGCACAAACATGATTTCAATAAAATTGAAAGTATAATATTCATGGTTAAGATGTTTTAAAATGATTAAATTGTTGAAAATGAGGGGAAGCATTAAAAATAATTTGTGTGTTGAAATATTCACAGCCGCATGAGACGAAGGGTGAAGCTGAAGGTTAAAGCCCCTCAGGGTAAAATCTCATGCTGCATTATATTTTGATACACAGGCGGAATCTTCAAGCAAACCCATTTCAGGACTTATCACAGCATACATGAACTGTGCTGAATCATCCGAGCGTTATCATACTCAGTAGGGCTAATGAGGGATGATTCATGCACAAAGCAGATGAATGACGGCATCTGCACCACAGAGAGCAAACTTGCAAAAGATTAAATTTTATGAAGAAGATACAATTAGACAAAGCTGCAAATTATCAAGTCCATATGGATACAGGCACACGAGGATAATTCATATCCAGGTGTCCAAAGAAACGGTTTCGATAAGACCGCACCATTAGATTTATATTCCAATTATCAAAAGTAGCTTGTGTTCATACAAAACATTCATTATATTGGCAAATATTTGCGGCTATCTCCCCCGAGATGTCCCGTTCCAATCAAAACCTCAGCACGTCACGTCTATTTCCGGGAGCCTGTTCTCGGCCACGAGTCTGTCAGAGCTTTTTAAAGCTTCAGGTGACAGATAAAAAGTCTGTGTTCTCCGATTCTGGAAACTCATGTTTGAACTCGTTAGCGCGTCTGTCGGCAGCATGGAGTGCGGATGGGTTTATGCAGTTTTGACAGCTTTGTGAAACATCTTTCAGAAAAAGGAGTAGGAAAAGGAGGTGGGAAGCATTGAGACTTGTGCAGTATTTAGTTGTATCTGTCAAAAACTGAAGCTATTTTTGCACTTTGGGAAAATAAGATTAGAAATTACTGTTAACTAGGAACGGATTCTGAAAAGAGACATCAAAAATGTGTTTTTGGCATGTAGAATCTTTCTTTGTGACATTCTTGCATATTAAGCATAGCTGAGCTGTGGGATTTGTAGTGAAACCATGGACTGCTCCTGATTATTGTGGTTAGATCAATAGATTGATCAGGAAATTAAAGTATTTGTTGTGAAATTTTTTTTTTCTAAATAACAGCTACTAAATAAAAGAATGTAGAAGATTTAGAAATTAACCACAACTACCATGGTGACAAGTAAAAAAAAAAAAACTAATATAATTGGTCTATTTTACCATAATTAATAAGCATAAACATTTTTGTGTATTTTTATTTTTAGGTTTTATTGATTCTCTATTGAAATATTTCTGTTTTTACATGAAACCCCCTTTTTTAATTATTTAAAACCTCTCATTGTTTTTATCTAGAGAAATATTACTCTATTCAATTACGTATATAAAACACACACACACACACACACTTTCAAAAGTATTTGAAGTCTCTTATGCTTTCTCTATTTATTTGGTAAAAAAAAAAAACAGTAACTACAGTAATATTGTGAAATATTACTACAATTTTAAATACCTATTTTATATTTGAATATATTTTAAAATGTAATTTATTCCTGTCTTCAGTGTCACATGATCCTTCAGAAATCATTATAATATGTTGAGTTGATGCTTAAGAAACATTTCTTTTTATTATCACTGTTAAAACTTGTGAAAACATTTGCGCTGCTTAAGATTTCACATTGATAAATTATTTTCAGGATGAACAGAATGTTCAAAAGCACAGCGTTTATTTGAAATAGAAATCTTTTGTAAATGTCTTTAATGTGATTAATATCTATCTATCTATCTATCTATCTATCTGTTTAATTATAAAATTAAATGATCAAATTAGCCTCTATAAAAGAAAATCTCATTTAAAATGTATTTATACAATTTATTTTCCCTCGAGCCCCTTGTAATAAAAGAAAAATATATATATACAAACAGCTACAGTTTTTGAAAGACATGACAACTATAAAATGACTATGGTACATTTGATACATTTGATTTTATGGTACAAAAAAACAAACAAACTACTAACTCGTAGCAGCATGTGAACACTGGTCCACTATCCACATCTGAACATTAAAGTAAGTATTGGTTTAGTCTGGAGCTACACAGGTGGTTTTCTAATGCAGAGGCGGTCTTTATGCCCCGAGGCTTCAACAGCACTGATTTAGTACTGACAGATTTATGTGAGCAATAATACCTGTGTGTACATTCCACACAATAAATGACAGCACAGGAAACAGCACAAAGCATTTCTTCAGACAGCTGGCTCTCTGATGCTGCAGATACTGCTGACAGAGAACACCATTTTAGCTCAGTGTGCAGCAGTTCTTGATGATCTGCATGGGTTTGGTGTGCATCTTCACGCAGCGTTCTGATATCGACACCCAGGAAAGCTA